CTAAGTCCCAGTCTGCTTATTCACCAGGGCCCCTGATGGTGGGGATGGACTTGGAGCAGACAGGAACCAGGTCGCGGCCCCTGAGTACACCTGCTAGTGGTAGAGGGATCCGCCAGAGGTATGTGCAGGTAGAAAGCCTGATGTGAAGAGGCAAAAGGTGTGAGCGGGGACGGCTGGATCCGTGCAGGGTGGATGGATGGCAGAGTAGTTAGCGTGGTCAGACGGGCCAGGTCAGCAACGTGCAGGCAGCAAGGTACCAAAGGAGCAGGCAGAGAATGGTCAGGGTCACAAGCTGGGTTCAGTAACTCACGGGCAGCGCGGTACAGGGGATCAGGCAGAAAGATGGTCAGGCAAGCCAGGGGTTCAACAGGAGACGGTCAGCAGAGGTTAGGATCAAGCAGGGTCAGCAACGAAGCAGGAACACAGGATACCAGGTACAGGGGTTCATGGGAAAACATACACCAAGGCCCTGATCACAGGCCTGGTCATGCCTTAAATACACCTTCTGCAATCAGCCCCAGGTTTGGCTGATTGCAGGAGTGAGCTTCTGGCTGCTGAGAGCACCCGCTGGTCAGCCCTGGTACTGCAGCCCACACGGCAGGTGAGTCCCACAACCAGTGCTGAGTCCATTCCTGACAGTTCTACTATAACCACGTATTAGCAGACGTTGTTGTAATAATTTGGCTTGATGTTTAAAATCTTGTAGATACGTACAATTTCGCCGCAAGCGGATATATTGTGCAAAAGGAATGCTTCTAACTAGTGCGGGAGGATGAGAACTATTAGCATGAAGTATCAACATAGTGGCAATACATCCCGTTGCATCTACAAACATTTGCAGATCCAAGAATGCAATTGTACTCTGATGTCAAGTCATGGTAAACGTTAAATTAAATGAATTCCTGTTGAGTGACATCATGAATTCATCTAGCATATCGACAGTGCCTGTCCAGATGACAAAGATATTGTCAATATATCTGAACCAGCACAATGCATGGTCCAGGTATTTGGTGAAAGCCTCATCTGAGAAAACTCAACGCTCCCAAGCTCCAAGATATAGGCTGGCATAAGCTGGGGCACAACAAGTGCCCATAGCTACTCCCTGTATTTGGAGATAATACTGATCCATAAACATAAATCAATTATGAGTCAGTATATAATAGGTCCACAATAAAATTGCCTACTGCCCACTGAGTACGGTCCTGTTCCCTCAGAAAGGATCATGTTACGTCTATCCCCCATGCATGGGGTATACTTGAGTACAAAACTTCAACATCCATAGTAACCAATATGGCATTAGACGGGATGGAAAGACTGTCCACATTTTTCAGTAAACCCAAAGTAACCTTAACATAGGAAGGAAGGAATACGTATAATATGGGGCATCAAGAAAAAAATCTACAAACTTACTAGCATTCTCAGTTAAAGAACCTATTCCCAAAACAATAAGTCTCCCAGGTGGATCAGAAGAGCTTTTATGGATTTTAGGTAAAGAATAAAAGGTGGCCTCTCTGGGGTATGCGGTATTCAAAAAAGTGTAGGTGTCTTTATCAATGAGGTCCTCAAGGAAGGCCCCATTGATAAGGTCATTGGATTCGGTAGAGAAACGTTGTGTCATCCGTGCTGGAATACGTTTGTACCATTGTGAGTTGTTAAGAATGGCAAGACACATATGCTCATATTGGTCTGTAGACATAACAATATTCCCTCCTTTGTCAGATGGTTTAATCACCAAGTTGGTTCTATTTTTAAGATGGTTCAACACTTTCCTCTGTATGGAAGTAATGTTAGTATCTGAAGTAGTAAGAGTTAGGCTTTTAATGTCCTTAATAGTAGCCATCAAAAATGTACAAATACGTGGATTAGTTGTAAGTTCAGGGAACTTAGTAGACTTAGGTTTTAATTGTTTAGAAGAAGAAACATAGTCAGGACTGACAGTATTAGTCGTAGGGTTATCTGGTTCACTTTCATCAAGCAATAACATTAAATCTTGAAGAATTCTAAAGTCCTGCATAGTAACATTTTTCCTACATTCCACAAGCTCCTTTCTTGTTTACTCCTAATACAATCCATATCAAAGATATATCTGTAAGTAAGTTTCCTCACAAACAGATATAAATCCTTAATAGTTTCATACTTATCTAATCTAGCAGTAGGACAAAAACTTAGCCTCATGCATAAAACAGCTAACTCATGTTTGTAAAGATGTTCAGTAGTCAAATTAATTACACAGGTCTGCGACTAAAAAGCTGTTTGATTATTTTCATTTAATTTCCATGTATTTTGGTGTGCTGAAAACAAATAAAATATTGAAAAAACTCCTAAACGTCATGATTTGCCACAAAATGCAAAATTGTCTTCAAATTTATCAAATTTTTGGTATTTTTTTTATATTAAGGGGTTTTAACCAAATTTAAAGTTCAAATTACTATTAATTAATTCACATAAGTGCATTTAAGATATAAAATGCCAAAAAAATCTTAAAGGGGTTGTCCGAGTTATGTAAAAAAAAAATATAGCACTGTAAATCTGATGGTCAGCAATATATACATAAGCTAAGCAAGTTTTAGGGAAAAAAATTCTATTTCCTCATTTCCCTAGTTCTGTTCTTGACCTTTGTTGTTATTTGCAGGTGAACAATCTCTGCTTCTCCCCCCCTGCAAAGGGGGTGAATACAAGTGCTGCTCTGAGTGACATGCCTGACTACTGGGATACTCAGCAGCATGCTGTATGTGTAAGCCCAGCCCTGAGTCTGTGCTTCTAATGGTAGAAGGGGTTAATCTTTCCTGAAGAATCCAGTGGGTGGGATACAAAATACCCTTGTTTTCTGTGTCTATGGGACAGTCGAGACCGACAAAATCACTGGACCAAGAAGAGTTGGCAGCCAGGGTGCTAACAGTCGGTGAAAAAAATGTCCTCCGAGAAACTTTGGTACCTTCCCATAAAGTTCTTCTACCACCTCTCCACATAAAATTGAGATTGATGAAGCAATTTGTAAAATCACTTCCAAGAGATGGAGAATGCTTCAAATACTTGCTCACCAAGTTTCCAGGCCTGTCGGAGGCAAAATTGAAGGATGGTGTGTTCGTCGGACCAGACATTAGAAGACTTATAGTTGATCAAGAGTTTGTCAATACCATGACGGATCCTCAAAAAGAAGGGTGGATTGAATTTAAAGAAGTCGTACAGAAATGTTTAGGCAATAACAAAGATCCTCACTACAAAAAGACCGTCGGACGAATGCTGAAAGCATTTCAAGCTTTAGGTTGCCTGATGAGTTTGAAAGTGCACTTCCTCCAGTCCCACCTTGACTACTTTCCTGAAAATGTTTGAGCTGTGAGTGAGGAACAAGGTGAAGGATTCCACCAAGACATTAAAGAGATGGAAAGGAGATACCAGGGAAAATGGAGCATTACAATGATGGCAGACTACTGTTGGATGCTTCAGAGAGACATTCCAGATGCTACTCACAAGCGTAAATGCACCAAGAGGAGCCTCACAGGGAAGAAGAATCGAGTTTAGTGTGTGTAGGTGAGCTCATTTCAGTTCAAAAAAGGATTTTCATGAAAAAATTGTAATAAAACTTTAATTTTATAAGTCTATTTCCATTTATTTTGAGGTATTGCCTTATTTAACATAGTTACCTAAATTGTCAGGAAACGTGATGTCCTATGACAAAATGGAGGTCATTTTCGGATTCAGTGCACCAAAAAACATAAAGATTACGTGGAATAACCAAAACAGCTCTTGAAAAAAATTTTTTTGCAGACCTGTGTTACATTCAGTTGGTTGTCCTTGGCTTGTTGTGAAACAATGTTTGCTTTGTTATGCGGGTTGTGCGTATCATGTAAGTATCAAGAGTGCTTTGCTTGTCCCCTTGATTGTGTGAATTTGGTAATAAAAAGTCATTAGTGCATTGCCCCAATGTGCTCTGTGAATACCCAAATTGTTTAGTATTAGTGTTTTTATTATATAAAGTTGATGTAGCTTGTGAAGCTGAGGTAAATACTGTCATTATATTAAGGGCCTGTGTGGCTGTAGGGCCCATATAAGTTGGTGCATTATAGAAAGTGGTTACAGATTCTAGTGAATGTTCTGAATGGGAAGAAAGTGTGCCTATGTCAGACATAGAATTCAGACATAATTTGGATGTTTTTTAATAGAATTAAGTTGATGAATAGGATTTCCCCCCATGTATTGACATTTTTGCGGTCCACTAGAAGGGTCAGATAGTGACATTGGAACATGTGGACTCAGTGGCTGTAGCTGAAGTGAAGAAATAGAGGAGATTCTGTCTCGTCATCCTGAGGGTGATTCCCATGTACCTCTGTAATTGGGAGGGGGTATTTGCCATCGATAGGCAAAGCCCTCCCCAAAAGCAGCTCGATCCTTAAAGATTTTATCTTGTTTCTTAGTAATGATATCTTTATTCATTTTAGCTAAGTACTCCTTAAGTTCCTGCCATTTTGAATTATAAAGAGAGTTATTTTTGATTGCTTCATCCCACCGTCCCACGCATCCCAGTCTTAGTCCATAAGGTTCAATACTGAGTTGGTCCACCCTTTGCAGCTATAACAGCTTCAACTCTTCTGGGAAGGCTAGCCACAAGGTTTAGGTGTGTGTCTATGGGAATGTTTGACCATTCTTCCAGAAGCGCATTTGTGAGGTCAGGCACTGATGTCAGGACGAGAAGGCCTGGCTCATAGTCTCTGCTCTAATTCATTCCAAAGGTGTTCTATTGTGTTGAGGTCAGACCAGTCAGGTTCCTCCACCCCAAACTCGCTCATCCATTGTCTTTACGGACCTTGTTTATGGACCTGGTGCACAGTCATGTTGGAATAGGAAGGGGGCATCCCCAAACTGTTCCCACAAAGTTGGGAGCATGAAATTGTTCAGAATGTCTTGGTATGCTGACTCTTTAAGAGTTCTATTCACTGGATAAGGTTCAAGCTCAACCCCTGAAAAACAACCCCACACCATAATCCCCCCTCCACCAAACTTTACATTTGGCACAATGCAGTCAGGCTAGTACAGTTCTCCTGGCAACATCCAAATCCAGACACATCCATCAGATTGCCAGACAGAGAAAGGTGATTTGTCACTCCACAGAACACGCCTCCTCTGCTCTAGAGTCCAGTAGCGGCTTTACACCACTGCATCAAATGCTTTGCATTGCACTTGGTGATGTAAGGCTTGGATGCAGCTGCTCGGCCATGGAAACCCATTCCATGAAGCTCCTATGCACTGTTGTTGTGCTAATCTGAAGGGCACACAAAGTTTGGAGGTTTTTAGCTATTGACTCTGCAGACATTTGGTGGCTGAGTTGCTGTTGTTCCCAGTTGCTTCCAATTTGTGATAATACCACTAACAGTTGACCATGAAAAATGCAATAGCAAGGAAATTTCACAGATGGACTTATTGCACAGGTGGCAACCTATCACAGTAGCATGACTGAATTTACTGAGCTCCTGAGAGCGACCCATTCTTTCAGAAATGTTTGTAGAAGCAGTCTGCATGCCTAGGTGCTTGATTTTATACACCTGTGGCCATGGGAGGTGAATCCAATGATTTGGAGGGGTGTCCCAATACTTTTGGCAATATAGTATACATACAGTGAGGAACAGAAGTATTTGAACACCCTGCGATTTTGCAAGTTCTCCCACTTCAATTCACATTGTAGGTGCATTCCCACTCTGAGAGACAGAATTAAAAAAAAAAAAATTCAGGAAATCACATTGTATGATTTTTAAAGAATTTATTTGTCTTGCACTGCTGAACATAAGTATTTGAACACCTAAGAAACAGCAAGAATTCTGGCTCTCAAAGACCTGTTACTGTGCCTTTAAAAAGTCCACCTCTACTCCACTCATTAATCTAACTTAGTAGCACCTGTCTGAGCTCTTTAAAGACACCTGTGCACCCCACAGTCAGTCAGACACCAACTACTACCATGGGCAAGACCAAAGAGCTGTCAAAGATCTGTCAAAAGATACCAGAGACAAAATTGTGGACCTCCACAAAGCTGGAAAGGGCTATGGGGCAATTGCCAAGTAGCTTGGTGAAAATAGATCAACTGTTGGAGCAATTGTTAGAAAATGGAAGAGGCTAAAGACAACTGTCAGTCTCCCTCAGACTGGGGCTCCATGCAAGATCTCACCTCATGGGGTATCACTGATGATAAGAATGGTGAGGAATCAGCCCAGAACTACAAGGGAGGAGCTGGTCAATGACATGAAGAGAGCTGGGACCACAGTTTTCAAAAGGTCACTGTCGGTAGAACACTACTCCGTCATGGTTTCAAATCATGCATTGCATGGAAGGTTGCCCTGCTCAAGTCATCACATGTCCAGGCCTGTCTGAAGTTTGCCAATGACCATCTGGATGATCCAGAGGAGGCATGGGAGAAAGTCATGTGGTCAGATGAGACCAAAGTAGAACTTTTTGGTCTAAACTTCACTCGTCGTGTTTGGAGGAAAAAGAAGGATGAGTTGCATCCCAAGAACACTATCCCTACTGTAAAGCATGGGGGTGGTAACATCATGCTTTGGGGGTGCTTTTCTGCGAAAGGGACAGGATGACTGCACTGTATTAAGGAGAGGATGAATGGGGCCATTTATTGTGAGATTTTGAGCAACAACCTCCTTCCCTCAGTCAGAGCATTGAAGATGGTCGTGGCTGGGTCTTCCAACATGACAATGACCCGAAGCACACAGCCAGGATAACCAAGGAGTGGCTCCGTAAGAAGCATATCAAGGTTCTGGAGTGGCCTAGCCAGTCTCCAGACCTAAATCCAATAGAACATCTTTGGAGGGAGCTGAAACTCCGTGTTGCTCAGCGACAGCCCTGAAACCTGACAGATCTAGAGGAGATCTGTGTGGAGGAGTGGGCCAAAATCCCTGTTGCAGTGTGTGCAAACCTGGTCAAGAACTACAGGAAACGTTTGACCTCTGTAATTGCAAACAAAGGCTTCTGTACCAAATATTAACACATTTTCTCAGGTGTTCAAATACTTATGTTCAGCAGTGCAAGACAAATAAGTTCTTTAAAAATCATACAATGTAATTTCCTGAATTTTTTTTTTAATTCTGTCTCAGAGTGGGAATGCACCTACAATGTGAATTTCAGACCCCTCCATGATTTCTAAGTAAGAGAACTTGCAAAATAGCAGGGTGTTCAAATACTTCTGTTCCTCACTGTATATATATATATATATATATATATATATAGAGAGAGAGAGAGAGAGAGAGAGAGATTTATATAGCGCCAACAGTTTGCTCAGCGCTTTACAATATAATGGAAAACAATATAGCAACAATACAGTTCAATACGAGAGGGATAGGAGGGCCCTGCTCCTTGGAGCTCAAAATATAGGATATATATATATATATATATATATATATATATATATACACACTAAGCATTATATTTACCCGCTCTGTGCAATGGTATTGCAGAGAGTGGCCTCGAGAGTTTATTCTTATGGGGTCCTGTGCTGGCACTCTCGATTCCTCCTCTTCTCAGTGCACCACATAGAAAGCTGCTGCCTATGGTTGCACAGCTGAAGGATCGCTCCCAAGTCAAGCTGTGTGCACCTATTGACACATACATCCCAGCTCGACCCTGCCCTCCTCCTCACAGCAGCAAGAGCCAATGCCTGCTATCTCTGAGTCTGTGAGAGGTAAGAATGAGACCCAGGACCGATGCAGCACCGATACAGGACTCAGGTAAGTATTTAGGGAGGGGCTTGCTGAGAAAGACTAGTAGAATATTTTTTAACTTAATGTAAGTAATTAAGGTTCTGGCTTTAGAACCACATTAAAGTGCATTTCCACTTTTCCAATCAAATTTGAGAACACCACACTATGGAGATTTACTAAAACTGGTGCACTCAGGATCTGGTGCAGCTGTGCATGGTAGCCAATCAGCTTCTAACTTCAGCTTGTTCAATTAAACTTTGACAAAAACATAATCTGGAACTGATTGGATTGTTATGCAGAGCTGCAGCAGGTTTTTCACCATGCAGTTTTCATAAATAACGCCTTATTTGTTGTGTTCCCATTCACATGTCATGCCTAAAAAATCTTTAGAAATATTTCTTACCTTTTAGATCAGGGGTGGGAGACTCTAGCTGTTGGGGAACTGCATGCCTCATGAGCCATTGCAAAATGGACAGTTACAAGCATGACTTCCAGAGGTGCAGGCATGATGGGACTTGTAGTTCTGCAACAGCTAGAGGGCCACAGTTGCTCACCCCTTTTTTTTTACATGTTTCTCAAAACAAGGTGTCATTGATGTCTGCAAGGTGTTTGAACAATATTAGAATGAATCTGTCCCAAGGTCTGCCCTCATTATACAAGGCAAGAGGGTGGTTTCTACATTTTTACATTCACAAGGCAGGAGGCAGGATTATGTGTGGAGAACAATAATCTGACAAGACAGACAGTGTTCAAATCTAGTTACAACAGATTTTAAAGTTCTGCTTGCACAGTACAATCCAGGTTATTTATGGCAAACACAGCTGCCCAGCCCCCTCACAAACAAAGATAACTACTTTGCATTTTTTTACTTGTTTTGCTCTGTGAATTGGGATATGTAGCAAATATAATGTAGGTGTTATCCCAATGTGGTGAATGTATCGGTATAATACTAGGTGATATCACAAAATAATAAACCAAAATGTAATAAAATGAAAAAAACCCTGACGCCAAAAAGCCACTTTCACCCCCGAAAGTACAAAAACATTCAAACTTTAATTCAGCGTCTCTGTGTAAAATAACCAGTGAAAATATTTCCTTAGTGAATATTCTTCTTCCCTAAAATCCAAAGAATCCTCTTCCTCCTCTTAGTGCCCTCAAGAAAATATAAATTTCATATAGTGCATTGTCGACAACGCATGATATTCAACATAAAATGCATTTTACAAAAATTGTGCCAATGCGTGCAAAATCCACTCCACCATGTGTGCACCTTTAACCATCTGTCATCCTTACTCTTACCATCTTATAAATTAAAAAAAACTTCTACACCATCTTCCTTTGTGGTTAGGTTACTGAATCCGCCCGCCTTCACATAGGAGGTGTACTTCCAAAGAAATTGCGTAAATTATAGTATCATCAAAATATTTTCACTCTTCTCCTGCTCCCCTCTTGTAAAAACTCCCAGTGCTAGTGTGCACATGGACCGCCACCTCTTATCTTATGCACCTTACCAGATAACAAGATCCATATGCTTTTAGAAAAAAAGGGGGGCTCCTCTCACTGTATATATTATCCAGTTCTCCAATGGCATCAAAACATGTGACGAAGTATAACCAACATAGTGCAGTAGGCAATAATAGGGTTAAAGCTCCTTTAATGATCAATTTATGCTTACAAAAAGAAAAGGATAAGATGTCTCAGCATGTATAAGACTGGCAACACAGTGTAAAACCCTTTTCCAAAATAGCCACTCTGCAACTCTCGGTTTACGTCCGACATCACATCCTGACGTGTTTCGTCACTTCCGGCTTCATCTGAGGCTCAAAGCATGGTCAAATTTGGTCCAGTGGAGGAAAAATAAGTTGTCTCCTAATCCCTTCGACCACAACTGGATATTCCCTGGATCAACAATCTTTGGTGTTATTAGCTATAAATGTTAATTTCCAGTTACATTTTGTGCATTTAGGAAAGCACCCAGCTCTTCTTTTAAAAACAATCTAGTGTGCTGGCCAGATTAAATTTTAACCACTTGCCTACCGGGCACTTATACCCCTTCCTTACCAGGCCAATTTTCAGCTTTCAGCGCTGTCGCACTTTGAATGACAATTGCGTGGTCATGCAAGATTGTACCCATATGAAATTTTTATACTTTTTTTCTCACAATCTAGTGTGCTGGCCAGATTAAATTTTAACCACTTGCCTACTCATCAGTGCTGACCACTTATATGCAGCACTGATAGTCGGCACTGATGATGGGTACTGATAGCAGCACTCTGCAACTTCCGGTTTATGTCCGATGTCACATCCTGACGTGTTTCATCACTTCCGGCTTCATCAGAGGCTCAAAGCATGGTCACCCACCTGTGCCCACCAGTGCCACCCACCAGTGCTTATCAGTGCCACCCACCAGTGCCCAGCAGTGCCACACACATGTGCCACACACCTGTGCCCAGCAGTGCCACCCACCTGTGCCCAGCAGTGCCACCCACCTGTGTCCAGCAGTGCTACTCACCTGTGCCCACCAGTGCCACCCACCAGTGCCCATCAGTGCAGCCCAGCAGTGCCGCCAGTCAGCGCCCAGCAGTGCCGCCAGTCAGCACTGATAGGCGACACTGCTGGGCACTGACTGGCGGCACTGCTGGGCATTGACTGGTGCAACTGTTGGGCACTGACTGGCACAATTGCTGGGCACTGATTGGTGGCACTGACTGGCGGCACTGCTGGGCTGCACTGATGGGCACTGGTGGGCACAGGTGGGTGGCACTGCTGGGCACAGGTGGGTGTGGCACATGTGTGTGGCACTGCTGGGCACTGGTGGGTGGCAC